TGTGTGTGTTATTCAATATATTATATAAGATATTCACGAGTGTATTATACACACCCAAACCTCTTTACAGGCACCCACTATAACCCGCAAACAGCCACACACCACACACCTCTCTGCCAACAGAGCCACATTTATATCTCGGCCTTTGATGCGCCCGTTCTGTGACTCTCGCACCACTTTATTCTCGTCTTCTTCGATATCCAACGGATCAATAACGTCGATCTTAGCGCTACCCAGTCTGTCGATCTGGTCTTGGATGGAGTTGAGATCGTGAATGTTCACCTTCTCTCCCGTTTTGGCGTTATACGCCACCTGTAAACGGCACGGACACGACGGCAGAGAGTACGGTGAATGAGCTTGAGAAGAGAACGCGTTTGATTCCGAAGTGTTCAATTGAACACAACAACTGAGTGTGAATGGGTATCCACCCACTTCCAGGCAAGAGGTTACCTGTACGTATACGTTTTCCACCTCCCGTCTCAACTACGACTGATGTCGGGGAGAGCTCCCGGGGTGTTTAACATACACAGACTAAACCACATTTTCTTAATTCACATATGCATAGCCGTCTACGACCTATGCCGCTGCTACATTCATGCTAATGTATCAAAACCTATCCCTGAAATCCTAAAGCCAAAAACCTTACTAAAGACGCAAACTCTAAACCCTCAAACCCTAAAGACACAAAATCTAAACCCTTAAACCCTAAAGACACAAACTCTAAACCCTTAAACCCTAAAGACACAAACTCTAAACCCTTAAACCCTAAAGACACAGACTCTAAACCCTTCAACCCTAAAGACACAAACTCTAAACCCTTAAACCCTAAAGACACAAACTCTAAACCCTTAAACCCTAAAGACACAAACTCTAAACCCTTCAACCCTAAAGACACAAACTCTAAACCCTTAAACCCTAAAACCACAGACTCTAAGCCCTTCAACCCTAAAGACACAAACTCTAAACCCTCAAACCCTAAAGACACAAACTCTAAACCCTCAAACCCTAAAGACACAAACTCTAAACCCTCAAACCCTAAAGACACAAACTCTAAACCCTCAAACCCTAAAGACACAAACTTTAAAACCCTAAACCCAGTGAGTATGATACACTGGTGAGCCACTGTATCATATCTCATATTCAATGAAACGATATGCATATATGTCACAGCTTAGTCACAGACTCTGTGTCAATTCAGGTACGGTTATAAAAACCTACACCACCATCAACTAGATTACCACACCCAAAGAAAACAACCCAACAAGTACAACAACCACAGACCGCAAAAGACTCAGCCTTTAGATAGTACAGTTCGCCCTCCCCTGAAAAGCAGGGTCACGGGAACTGCCAACACCTGCCGGTAGCCACAAGTCCACCCCGGACATCAGGCATTGTATATAGCAATAGCGTGTAAACAAATAAAGATACCTAAAACCCTAAACCTTAAAGACACAAACTCTAAGCCCTCAAACCCTAAAGACACAAACTCTAAACCCTTAAACCCTAAAGACACAAACTGCTAATAGACGCTTCACCCAGAGGCAGCAGCGTACATAATCACACCACAGTATTGGAAACGCACACTACCCAACCACCACATTCACCCCCTGTTCGATATAGATCAGGATTTAGAAACAACATCCCAATAGATATCACTCTCTCCTATATCACTAGCAGTCTAGATCCACCTGATTTTACCAAGTGTTGGCAAATATGCCTACGACAGATTTGCATTGACTTGAAGCTGAATAGCAATTATATCCACAAACATCCTGCTATGAAACGCCCACCTCCTAGAACACATCCGCCTTAAGCGCCTACCGGCAGACACAGTTGCAAATCGCAACCCGGTGATGCGGTAGTGAGTCCGAGACAGCTACTGGTCTCTCTCTCATATTCAGTAATACGAAATGCAAATCGGTCACAGTATATTTTCAGCACTTGTTTCCAACCAGTTAGGATTTACAAACTACTACTAAAACAACCCATAGAACTACATACCCAAAGAAACCAAGCCACATAGCAAACTAAACGCAGCGCAACAACTCAGCCATTAGATAGTTCAGTTAGCCTCTACCTGAGAAAACAGGGATTAAGGCACAAACTGCGACACCTGCCGGCCGCCACAGGTCTTCGGACACAAGGCATTGTAATATTGTATATATCAATAGCGTGTAAACAAATAAAGATATCTAAACCCTTAAACCCTAAAGACACAAACTCTAAAACCTCAAAGCCTAAACTAGACTGCCATTGCATTTGCTTTGTTTGTACGTCGGTGTGCGTGTCTACGCATACGTTGACTTATACGGTTTATACACCAGGTTTACGTTTATATACCACGTATAAGTGCATACACCACGTGTACGTATACACACCAAGTGTGCGTTTAATGTGTTTATATACCACGTGTACGTTTATGCCCCAGGTATACGTTTATATATCACGTATAAGTGCATACACCACGTATACGTATACACACCAAGCGTACGTTTAATATGTTTTTATACCACGTATACATTTATGCACCAGGTTTACGTTTAATATTAAGAACTATCAATTTCGAGTATGGGAATTCTCGTACACAATCTAACTCAACTGTGACATTGCAAATGCTTGGCTTGAGCTAAACTCCCATATACCTCGCCCGTAACCATTCATTATAATATAATTACGATCTCAACGAACCATACCTTACCAAAACCACGGTTTAAAATTACATATATACACACAAACAGTACTATAAACACACTATAACCACACTGCATACACATACACACACACACACAC